CACCTAGCTGGTGGCGATCTAGAACAGCGATGTGGACATTGTGCTCAGCTGGCATTGACTGGGCATAGTAGAGAACAACATGGAGTGAGGCCGCCCAGGAACTGAACTCAGTAATATTTTCTCTGCCGAAAAAATGATCATCGGCCATGGTGAATATCTCACGTTCGGACATCTCGTAGAACCGATGGCCGTTTTGGCCATTCATGAAACCTCTAGGTACGATCTCAGTTGGGTTGTTGATTGCGAAGTGAGACCCACCCCCGCTTTCCGAATTGAAAGCACGAAACAAGAAGCGAGGAACGTTCTTTGTTCGTAGAGCTGGAGTTCATATTAGTTGTGTGCGGTGCTATGTGGAAAACAAGCAAATTTACTTTCCCAATGTTCTTTGCGCTCGCCTGCGGCATGAGGACTAGATACATTCAACATCTTCGAGGTATGAAGTTTTCTAAATTGATGACATTCTCATTTCATATTTATATACTCTAAGCTACATTGGTCTTTGCTCGATGTCTTACAGATACTGAGACCTACCTCCTCAGTATAGTCTATGACTTGCTTGTAGCCATATGATCTGCTCCATGTTCCACATATCGTAACAGGCTGCTACCGTCTAAACAACCCATCTCTATGGCAGTCATTTTTATGTGCTAAGAGGCTCTACTTCAGCCTTGACCTATTTTGCGATATTTTCTTTGTCTTAAAATATCGCAGCTAAGTGCCACACAGCTCTTGCACAAATGTCTCGCTTCTATTATGGAATCTTAATCTGAGTGTAGTTTTGATAGACTCTCTTATCCCGAGGATTTAATTAATGTCGCGCTATTTGCTTTCATCTGCAGTCTGTATTTTGGGACATTTACAGCCGTTAACCCCTTGGTCTGGGTTTGAATTTACGATAGCCGCTTTGTTCAACGCTGCTCACTTCTGAAAAAGGCTAGTACAAGGTGAACCATTGGTATACATCAACCGTTGCTGCGTATCCTTTCACTCCAATCCGGCTGGCTGCCGCGCATAAAGAGACTCTTTGTTTAAACGCCTTCTCAAATATTTCTACAATTCCACTCTCTGTATATCGAACCTTTGTAACACCGCCAAATCCGTAAGTTCCACCGAAAAGGTCAACAACTGCAATCTTTGCAACTTTTATTGTCTCGTCGCTTTTCACCTCCATCTAAACACTAAGGAACCGCAATGGCTGCACCTCTCACCTATGCGGACTTGGATCACAATGACTGTCACTTCTTCGATCATATCCTAGCCAACGACTCCGAGCGAGTCGCATTTATTAGATTCTTCGAACACGTCGAGCGAAAAGATTCGCAGCAGAAGCGCCCTCGAACCGGTACCGGTAGAGTCAAGCTATGGAGAAGAAGCTCACGCGCGCATTGGGTACATCGCGCTGAAGACTCACAGCCTTTTCCTGAAATTCTCCGCCCTACTTGGATACCACCTGTCGCTGGTGGCACCCCAGCTGTACCTGTACCGTCTTCTCAACCTGTTGCAAGCCCACCGCAGGTCTTGACTCTTGTCGCACCTATAGCTTCTGGTAGCATCTCGATTGCACCAGTCGATGTTCCGGCATCGCGTTCTCTTGACCTCGCCTTTGGCAGTATAGTAGAAACTGTACTTCAAGTCCCGACCTCGCCTGATGTCCAAAAGCGGAAACGAGACATCAATACTCTGGTTGATGATGAGCAACCATCTATCGGCAAAAAGGCGAAAGTGGGTGTTTATTCCACCGATGTTGAGCATCCAGCTAGCAGCCATTTTACCGACATTGGTGGGGAGAAATGCCCACAATTCGTTCTGTACAATGAGGTCGAAATGAAGAACAAAAAAGATTCCTACAAAGCGCTTGCTCCATCTAAAGAGCAGTGCCGATTCGTCCAGGAAGCTCTTGGTGGGAAATGGCGTTTCGCGAAGGCGCTCCATCAGCGCTCTATTCGGTTGATGAAAAAGTGAGAAGGGGGTGTTCCTGATGTTTCCACTTTCCTGTTCGCGAAGATCAATGATGATGGGGTTATTGAAGATCGTGCTGTAATCAAATGTACGGACATCTCAACCAAAAACAACCCCAGTCATGGTCAAGTGGAGCGAGAGGCCACGGCGGCCAATGCCCTTCGGGCGACCAACTGCCGACACGTTCAACAGTCTATAGAGATTCAGAAGGGACTGGAAAAACAAAATTTGAATTTCAGAGTGGAGCTTCTGGATGATCACCCTTCCTGGAAGCTCAACTACCAAGCTTCGGGATACGCCTCTCATGGCACTCTCCGCACGCTCATCAAGAACCACGAGAGCGCCAAGCAGCCCATCCCAGAGCACTTTTGCTGGTTTGTATTTGGGGCGATTGTACATGCTCTCATCACTTGTCAGACTGAATACTGCAGCGAAGCTCAACCGACTCCAATCGACGCTGGGTCTCTACGACCCGATTGGCGTAGAATGCTTCACCTAGACATCAACCCCGACAACATATTCCTTTCGGGGCCCGACCCAAAGTATAACTACTACCAATAGCTCATACTTGGAAGCTTTGACGCGGCTCTATGTCTAGACCCAGATCCCGCCAACCACAAGGCTCAGTTCGACAGCGTGCGATTCAAGGGCAAAAGATACTGGCAGGCTCCAGAGAAATGCATGCAGTACGCAAAGTCTGGGCAATATCCTCCATCCAGGTGGGAGCTCGACCACGCTACCGATATCTATTCGCTCGGACTGGTGATCCGCTACATGATGATGTGTACGGAAGCAACTCCCGAAGAGCTCCATAATATCATGAAGTAGGAAGCTGATAATTTTGACAAAGAGTCAAAGATTCCCCCGAATTTCCCAGAGTACGAGTTTCCCAGTGCCAAATACCCTCATAGTGCTAAGTATAGCCCGGCCCTTATGCAAACTGTCCAGTATTGCTTGGCTTTCCGACCGAGATATGATCCTCATGACCCAGAGAAGAAATTCCGGCCTCCGCTATTCCGACTTAGAGATGACATCAACGAAAATCTAGCCAAAATGGACGCCAAGTTTACTGCCAAGATCGAGGAGGTACAAGCTAGACCGGGGCACAAGAAGCGCACCATCTTTTCAGATGAAGACACTCAGTTTGCCATTGGTGCTAAGATGCCACCTGTCCCTCTGGTAAACATGGCAGATCTCACCGACGCGAAAGCGATAGATCGTGATAAGAAAAAGGCGCTTGAGACCTGGGAAGCGTATCTTGTCAATGCCGGCAGAAAGCCAATATCAATGGACGCCTCAATTGTATCAGCCGCACTCAACGATGTCTTCCAAAAGTTCCGGGAGTCGTTCACCGAGAAAATAGGTAAAGAGAAGCAAGAAAAGCGGCGTCTCTACTTCAATGCCCTGGACCACTCGATGAATACGTTCCAAAAGTGCATCAATCCAAGCGACAAGTTCAAGCAGCTTCGTGGGCAGTACGACCCAGAATTCTTCTTACCGCGGAATAAGTGCATTGTGCTGAACCAGATCCAGGGAAACAGCAAGATTGTTCGCCGTGAGGTGAGGCAGGCATTGCAAAAGATTTCCGAGGAACAGAATGATATCGAGGATAAATTGAGACAAGCCAAAGACGATCTCGAACTTGCAAAGAGCGCCCACGACCAAGATGAGGATATAATCAAGACTCTAACTTCTTTATATCAGCAATCGCAAGAGAGACAAGAGTTCAAGTCTGGTCATGCAACGGCCTTGCAGGACAAGATTTCTGTGTTGACCGTGCTGTGTGAGGCGGCAAATGTCGGTTTTTCGATTTTGATTTTTGGTAATGAGCTCTGGCCTGAGGAAGATGTGATAGAGGAGCGAGAGCATTGGTTCCCGAAGCTTTCGTTGGTGCATAGGTGTGTTTGGGAGTATTTCTGGGCGAGACCTGATGGCGTGTTTGTTGACAAGGTTGATGATGGTGGAAACGAGCTTGAAGATTTAATTATGCAGGGGCTGTCTGAATAGGCAGCTCTTGTGACGAGGGTATGTTGGATACGAGTTCGAAAGCATGGGCTAGAGTGAGGTTAGACATTGATGTCTTCTTCTCCCGGTCTATATTTCTCTTTTGTAGTTTCTTGAGTATAACCACCTCACTATTCTCAAATCATTTTATTCAATGATCTCATCCTGAGTTTGCAAGGACAGGTGAAGAACAGGTGTATCTGCTGCTCGGGCTGGAAATAGATTCAGTAGTAGTAGTAGTAGTAGTAGTAGTAGCTGCTACTATCTCTTTCTCCTCTCCGTAGGTTTAGTAATGAGATGATGGTGAACCGAGAAACATAAACGGCAACAGCATCAAGGGCTAGACTACCATACTATAGAAATCCCCGGAGCAGAATAAGAGGTACAAGTTGTACATGAGTGGCAAGAGAGGCATGAATGCAATACTGTGTCTTCGGATCGTGGCGCTGTGGCTGATGACGAGTGTGGCGCTCTGGCGTTGGTCCCCAATCGGCATTACGTATCGCCGACTTCGCGTCCGCTGCATCGACGAGGTGAGCTTGTGATGGTAGTATCACCAAACAGCTCCAACACCGCCACTTGATTAATCCGTCCACCTCGTCACTCGTGCACACAACCACAACTCAGACCAAAAACAGTCAGCGAATCCATTGAACCACCATGGCCGTTCCGGACACGAGCTCGCGGATAGCGGAGGCGCAGAAGCTGGCCAAGTCGGAGCCTGACAAGGCCGAACACATCTACAAGGACTTTCTCTCACAAGACCCGGGCTCCAATGAAGCCGCCATCAAGAACTATGAGAGCGCTTTGGTCGGGCTCGGTGAGCTCTACCGTGACCAGAAGCGGGTGGATGCCCTCGCCGAGTTGGTCAGGCAAGCGCGATCCATAATGTCGTCGTTTGCGAAAGCGAAGACATCTAAGCTGGGTATGATTGCATTTTGATAACGAGCCATGGGTAAATGACTGATTCCCTATAGTCCGTCAGCTACTCGACCTGTTCACCACGATCCCCAACACGGCAGACACGCAAATCGCAGTCACCAAGTCATGCATAGAATGGGCCGTTTCAGAGCGAAGGGGCTTCTTACGGCAGAACCTAGAAACCCGACTCGTTTCTCTGTACATGCAGAAGCAGTCTTACTATGAGGCCCTCACCCTCATCAACAGTCTGCTGAAGGAGCTGAAGCGTTTGGACGACAAGCTTGTCTTGGTCGAAGTGCAGCTGCTAGAATCGAGGGTCTACCACGCCCTGGGCAACATATCAAAGGGTCGTGCCGCCCTCACATCTGCGCGAACATCGGCTGCCTCCGTCTATACCCCGCCTCTGCTACAGGCAGGTCTGGACATGCAGAGTGGAATGCTACACGCTGAGGACGGCGACTTCAACACGTCCTTTTCATACTTCATTGAGGCTATGGAGGGCTATCACTCACAAGACGAGGAGCAAAAGGCTACCTCTGCACTGCAGTATATGCTGCTCTGCAAGATTATGCTCAACCTTGGGGACGACGTAACATCGCTCATGACCTCCAAGCACGCCGTCAAGTACGCCGGCAAGCGGTTAGAGGCCATGAAGGCTGTGGCTCGCGCACATACCAACCGCAGTCTCGAGGAGTACGAAACCGCCCTGACCGACTACCGTCAACAGCTTGGTAGCGACCGATTCATCACATCCCACCTTCGCCGCTTGTATGACAACATGTTGGAGCAGAACCTCATCAAGGTCATTGAGCCCTTCAGCAGAGTGGAGATTGACCACGTCGCCAAGATGGTTGGTCTGGACACGATACAGGTTGAGCGCAAGCTTTCGCAGATGATTCTGGATAAGGTCATCATCGGAGTCCTAGATCAGGGTGCTGGCTGTCTCATTGTATATGACGAATCCGAACGCGACCAGGGCTACGACGCGGCGTTGAGCACCCTCGAAAAGCTCAGCAATGTAGTGGACGTGCTATACACGAATCAGGCGTCCCTCCTGGAGTAGCATGTGCGTTTGGAGGTGCATATGTTCAGTACTTGAGCTGCTCTTGAGACTATGTACAACAGAAGCATAGATGATCAAACATGCTGCGCAATCAATGTGGCTAGCTAATAATGATTACACATGACACGGGAAAATATCGTCCGATACATTGTTTCAACTTGTGCGTAGTGCTGATTTTGCAGTCGTGTTTATACTACGATCCCCTAGTCATAATGCCAGTAGGGTAACATGGTGCCTTTCGGCTCTTGCAGCCGCGTCCGAAGTTCGTCTTGGACAAGCTCACCAAGCAAACGTCCGGGCGATCGCCATGAGTCGCCAATCTGCAACATTGCAGTTACATTTATTATAGATTATATTGTACAACCCCGTGTGGAAAAGGTAGTCTTACCGAGGCTGCACTATAGGTATCCTGGTCTCATTCGCCGATCCCCTGGCGATCTACACCCCATCACACACAAGTCTCCATAGAAACAAAGCACCACCATCTCCCCGAATATATTATCGACCCCAGTTGTTCTGCGATATGCGATTCGAAATATGGAGACGGATTGGTATGAAACATGTGTTAGGAAGGCGATGATCTGATGGATGGGTAGGTATAAAGTACCGCCCAACGTCGCAGTGATTTGGGTTTTATCAAAACAAGATATCTTGTGTATCTCATCTTTTCTTCTTTCTCACTACATCAACTGTGTTCTATTAGGATAATGCATTTCACAACAACCTCGTTACTTGCCCTCGCGGTTCCCACCGTCTTGGGCCATGGCCTCATCACATCACCCCCCTCGCGCCCCGTCGGCCCTGCCATCATCAAAAACTGCGGACCGAAGGTTGAGCAGGATATTCGTCTCGACAACACGTCCCACGTTGAAGGGTAAGCATCATGCCTTCCCCTGTCAGCACCATCACTAACACACCCGACAGCCTCCCCGAGCTCGCCGCCCAAGACCCTGCCTACAACGCAACCTCCTGCAACCTCTTCCTCTGCAAAGGCCTCCAATTCGCCGACAACCCAGCCAACCACACGCAAATGTGGACAGCAGGCCAAGTCGTGCCGATCAAAGTGTGGATCCGCATTCCGCATGAGGGCAGCGCCAACGTGAGCATCGTGGATACCAAGACCAACACGATTGTGGGGGAGATGCTGAAGGTGTGGAAAAGTGGGTATGCGCCTGGTAGTAAGGAGAGTGATGTTCCAGCGGATCAGAAGGAGTTTAGTGTTACGGTTCCTGAGGGGTTGGAGGAGAAGTGTAAGAGTGCAGGGGATTGTGTAAGTGCTTGCTATTTTGGTTTAGGTGGAAATGGGGCTAACAAAGTCATAGGTTTTGCAATGGTGGTGGTATGGACTTAGTGCCAAGCAGACGTACGAGTCTTGCGTTGATTTCATGGTCATGAAGAAAGGGGTGAGGAGGGATGCTTTTGCGCGGGCTTTTGCTGGTTAGTAGGATGGAAGGGTAGGTAGATGATATGTTGTAATTTTTTGCATCAATCGTGGTATCTTCGATCATTCCCCAAGGGCTTTGTACATGGCTCTCTCCTTTTACATACAATAGAAACAAATACATTGCCATAGCCCTACCATCCCATCAAGGGTGAAAAGCGAAGACGCACTTATGTCGAAAATTGAAACGAAACTCCATATAGGCAACCACTATGGCGTGGCGGGCCGCTGATATAGGCACACACACATAGACCCCTGCTACCCGTTAAACGCACACTCCCATCGCGACCCCATCACATCCCATGATGCTCCCTCCGCTTCCCCGCAGCATCCACAATGACGATGCCAAGCAACATGCCACAGATGAATAGTGTCATAAACGTGGCTGCGACCAGGGTACAGCAGAACTTTTCTTTCTCCCTCTTTTGCCTAGCAGCAGTCATGGCATGTCCGTCGCAGACTTCGCAGTGTGTGTGGGTAGGTCGCAGAACATTTGCGATTGTTTGTGCAAAAGTTGGTTGTTGGGAAGAAGAGTCGGTGGAGGAGAAAGGTGTGTTGTTGATGTTGTTTTGTTGGGGGTGTGCATGGAGTTCAATGTCGACGTCATTGTCGTTTTGAGGGACGATTGTGTACTGAATCTCTCGTTAGCAAAATGTGACAGGAACAGTAATATGTTGTATGACTTACATCAGAAGTCGACCCAGATGGCAAATAGCGGTTTACAGGATGCTCATTGACCACGTCCTCATACGCCGGCGCAGCCTCATGCGCAGCACTCATTGCTGGAATACCCATCTTATCTCGCAAGTATTGCAACAAGGCAAAACACCTCAAATATTAAACTGGGTGTAAAGAAAAAGAGGAGAAAGCGCGATTAAAATTCTTGATCACTAGGTAGTCCAGCCTGTGTTGATCGTGAAGCGCAAGAAGCAAGTGTGGCAATGAAGCCTTCTATACGGCAGCCTAAAGGCCTCAGCCTCAGCAACCGGCATGTGGACACTGCCGCTTACCCATGGACTGTGCGCATCGTGGCCCGGTTATTGGAATTGGAATGCCTGATATTCAAGGATGAGACCTCAGGCTGAGGCTACCTGCGTTGCGGAAGTCTGCGAGGATGTGCATATCATGGCGCGACGTTTCGTGTGCTGACGCACGGGTATCAAATGGATAAAGCCATCCGTCGTGCGTGGATCTACCGTGCGTCATATATGCGCCCTTTTTGCGTGTGCTGCTTTGCGCCGTGGTTGAGCGTGGAAGACGACGTGGCGTGCTGGTGGCGCCAACGCGAAAATGCGGGGAAGTGGCTTGTAACGGTGTTGAAGCTTGTGTGCTCTGGGCACCTGCGCTGGAACACTCACTAACCGTACATGTCATCTTGGCCAAAATTATGGCTACTTTCGTAGGGTTTGACGACGAGCCAAGAAGCTCTTGGATATGTAGCATGTGGGTAAACATAATCGTTCACCCCCTTTGGTTCGCTGGTGTGCGCTGAGATGATAGGACAGTTCCAAGAATTTTCTGATACACAATTCAGGTCTCCCAAGCTTGCTGCGACATTGACAGGAACATCTTGATAGCGCCTCCAGCCTCAGGTTACTCCTTCTTCACGTCAGCCATTGGCATCTGCTTAGACTATATGACAAAAACCAAGTCTTGCCAAGCTATGATGATAGTAGCATCATTTCGTCGCTGAGGTTCTGGCCACTCTACAGCCGTAATGATGGCGTCAGTGTTGCTAGAGAAACTCAGGTTCGCAGGCTTGGTCGCCAACGCCTCCCTTCTTTGAAGATGTCGAGCAGAGTTTGTCCCCTGTAATCCGTCGGTTCATCTTCTTGGAAGTCTGCGATTCGTCGACCATGTCCCTTTTGCGTCTTTCTTCATCAGATGCATAAGTTACACTTGGCTTGAGCTCGCCTCAAAGCGGGATTCAAAGCTCACAGGATGGGAAGTGCCGCCGCATAGGCCAATCGTGGGTAAAAATCTAGTTGGGGGAGCCGGGCACGATGATGTTCAATACGAAATCAAACAATACGCATGTTTGTGTCGGCTTACTACCCAATACCAGCAGGTATTCTGCTACGTTGCTGTGGTATGGCTGTGACATAATTATTAAACAAGGAGGTGATAATAAGCATCGTACTAAAAGGTACATCAATAGGGAAAACATAAGAGAAACGCCACATGTACCTGAGTCGTGAGTTGAGAACAGGGATCACGCGTCTTTATCCAGTTGATCCAGTCGCTACACACTTCCATGCAATCACCAAAGCATCTTCAGCCTCGCATATCGCTGTCTACCCCAGATGCCTCAACTCTTGACCCCTACCATACATCGTCCAATCACCGTCTCTGGTTATTTACCTCTTACACCAACCAAACTCACATTCCTAACATCAACAAACATTACTGACAAATCAACCTTATGCGTTTCATTCACCCATAGCATATTGCCGCAAAATAGCCCTTCTTATTCGCTCCCACAGCAACAAAACACGGCTTTATCTGATTTACAAAACTTGCCGCCATTGAAACTCGCTGCCACGCAACCTCAGGTCTTGAAACTTGAAACTTGTGACAGCGGAAGCGGAATATGTAGCCGCTGCTTTTGCAGAATAGACCGGTATATATGGGCTTGTGTGGTAATAGAGGTTCATGGACCGCGAGTTGGTATTTTCACGTTTTGGCTGTTGGCTGTTTTAGCAATGAGCTTGGTCGATGTTTTGTTGGGACAGCAGTCTTGTTTAAGCATGAGGTTGCTTTCCCGAGTGATCGGGCTGGGGTAATTCGCATAAGAGTCTTTCTCTTGGACCATGAGTGTTGGTTGGAGATAGATGTTTATGTTTATGGCATAGTTATTGGGTTTTGTGAGGAAACAAAGCGAGCATTAGGTACTGAGACAAGGCGGTATGTTTACGAGAAGATAGACCAGGTAGAATCTGCTCTAGGAAAGCCGCTAAGCTCGGCATAGTATCGGTATTTTGCTAAGACTGCACCTGGGCAGCACATTAGTGCTATTTCAGCGAGATATTAGAACTCTTTGACGCACATCTGGATTTGGCACAATGAGAAAAGCTCGAGGATAATATATAATTAACTATACATCCCTACACATACGACCATAGGATCTTGAGAACAAGGCTTCCCGTTCGCTCAGCCCTATTTAAGCAAGATACCGGCGGATTAGTAGTTAGGTGGGTGACCACTAGCGAATCCCCGCTGTTGTATGTTTTTGCCATTCTTTTTGCCTATTAAGTAGATACTCTAGAACAGAGCTTAACATGGTTGGCAAGCGAGTCGGTCAGGCAAGCGAGTCGGTCACCCCACCAACCTTTGCAACTTCAAAGCGACGCATCTCAACAACGCGATAATAGTATTACTAGATATTAATACTGTTGGAAGGCCTTGTACGATCGTACGGTGAATAACAGTAGCTAAGGTAATCTTGTGTATTGGTATTCTGGTGTATGATGATTCTACGAATGTGGGGGCTACGAAGGTATACATAGCGTTGGGTCCGAGTTGGGCCGAAGTAGGATCGAGGCGGTACATTGGGCCTTATTAGGCGACACACCGTGTGTATGCCGACAAATACAATAGATTACTCTATATTAATAATATTAGTTTTACATGTGCGCAAGTTGTGCCTAGTCTCCTTACACCTGCTGCAGCGCGTTAGAGCCCGCCGCCTATGGCCTAATCGCTCTCCTCCTTAACGCTCTTCATGAGCAATCTGCTAGTCAGCCTCATTTTAAGCTACTTGACACGATACTCCAGCTGGGTCATACTTTGGTAGGCCTCAGGGACCCCTTCGGAGACCCATCGGCCCGAGCCAGCCACAGTCACGTGCCATAGTCGTATATAGCATCTCACTGAATCCTTGATAGCTCCTCAAGGATTCGTCTTAATACAAGCCTATACCTACATCTCAGTGCCTGTTCGAATATTCCTTACAGGAACCAACAACATAAGACTCACCTGCCTTAGTGCGGACCAGGAAAGAGCAGTATAACCACTCCGCGTAACACTTAAGCGAGCTAAGAAAGCAGCTATGTGATGGATCAAACCTACGATCCCTCACGCGATCACGTGCCATACAATCACGTGCCACGCTGGCAGTTGGCCCGTGCGAGGAATAATAAAGTTCCCCTCGTACTTGTATATAGATCTGTACACACAATCTCACTTATTAGAGGCATCCTAACTATTGCAGTGTACTAGTGCCTTTACACTATTGTGTGTCAACCCCTACATACCTAGGATACTTCGCATCAGGCTCAGTTATCAGAAACACCGTCCGCGCCGAGCGCCGCCGCCGATTGAGCAACTGCGACTTGCTACATCGGGCAGAACAAGACGTTCTGCGACGGGTTAGGTCTTGACGACGAGGATCGCAAAGTATTGCGCTAGAAGCCCACGGGTGGAGACACCAGGCTCAACAAGCAAGTATTGCTCGTGAGGGTTGTCACCAACGCTGGTAGAGGACAGGTCCACCTACATCAACGGACAAGTAGGCAGAGGGCAAGGCATCGAGCTTCGAGAAGCGCGACCCTACGGTAAGCCCTGCGCAACACACGAAAAGACCAGAGACACCAGGCTCAACAGGCAAGTATTGCTCGTGGGGGTTGTCACCAACGCTGGTAAAGGACAGGTCCACCTACATCAACGGACAAGTAGGCAGAAGGCAAGGCATCGAGCTTCGAGAAGCGCGACCCTACGGTCAGCCCTGCGCAACACACACGAAAAGATCATCGCGATGGCAAACCCGGCCAATACCCAGAATACCCAAGGTACCTCAGCCACCGGTGCCACCTTCGGGCAAGCTTCCCAGGATCCTACTCAATCACAGATGGGCCCGCCTCTCGTACCAGTACGAGCTTGCCTCTCCAACCGCCGAGAGAGCATGCTTCTGGCAGCCCATCCGTCATCCCAGCCATCAGTATCAGCTAGCGGCGACCTAGAGCCCATGACTGCTACACGCGAGATTGTCGGCATCGAAATCAACGACGTCCTGCTCGAATACCTCAAAGATTCTAACTACGTTTACCTCCGTTATACCGTTGACACCGAGTGGTTCGAATTACAAGAGGATCCCGAACCTGACGAGCACAGCAATGCCTTTTACTCCCTTAGCACAGGCCGAATCCGCACTGATGGCAACATCACCCACAACATCAACGACTTCACTGTCACTAACTCTAGTAACCTCCAGAAGAACGTGAAGGATCGTCCCGACTTCTGGTGGCGATTTATTGTCTCTACGCTAGTCTCCCTACGCAACTGCACTGACGCCATCAATAGGCATCTGCAGACTGTGGACCGCAATGAAGGAGAGACTCAAGCTCTACGAGACCGACTAGCGAATGTTGAAGCAGCCCTTGATGAAACTTCGAACAGTAAACAACTACAAGTTGGCATGGTTAGCAGCAACCTGTACAAGGAGAAGCTGACAGAGATCCGACGCCTCACCTCGGACATCGGAAAGCTCAAAGCTGCGTCAGAACAACTCCCCAACGTTCGCGATGACCCCGCCTTCAAAGCCCTCGCCGCTGAGCGCGACCTTGCCGCCACCGAACGCAATGAACTCAAGCAGAAGGTTGAGGACCTATCCCGCCGAGCCGATGAACCGGAGAGCGGTCCTAACTACGCAGAGTTGGCACAGAAGCTCAAGGAGGAGTCTGACAGCGCCGACTGGTGGGCAGACCAAGCTAAGGCCAACGCTGAGCTCTGCGACAAGTTCAAAGGACAAGCTGATCGCTATTCTATCGAGCTTAACCAGTATGATGTCAAGTACTCTAACATGGAGGCGAACAAGAACGAAGCTCTCGCCCTTAAGGATAAGGCTTACGATGAGCTCAACCTCCAGCTCACCGAGGCTAGACGTGAGACAAAAACGGTCACCGACCGACTGCTGCAACATGAACCCAACTATCAGCCGTACACCCTCTGGCGGCGCGAGCGATCTTACGACCCAGTACGGCCTGTACAATCAAGCGTTTTGCTACAGCGACCTGTAGATGGTACCGCTGACCAACTCTCACAAGATCCTCGCCGAGCTGGGTACACCCCATGGGATAACCGTACTCCCGTGCGCGACGCCTCGCTACCTCCTCCATCATCGAACCCATACGCCCCCGCTCCTACAGTACCGCGACCGCCGCCCGTCGCGCCCTCTACCGCCGGTGGAGGATTCTCTTACAAACTCCCAGAACTTGAGACGTTCAAGGGCAAGGTCGACGACGACTACGAGCGGTGGCGCGAGATGGCAGTGGCCAAGTGTCGCACATACCCAGAGGACTGGCAAGCGGTTGACTACCTCAAGTTCCGCATTCAAGGCGAAGCTTACGAGCACATCCGAGATGTCAAAGCTCGCCATTTCCTAGATTTCCTAGAGACTCTCGACAGCCAGTATC